CATAACTGTGTTATATAGTTCAACCATGCTTTGTCCAATATATATTAAACCAATGTTATCTTGGAATTGAAATAAGTAAACAAATCAAAATTCTTTCCTGTCACTGCTTTTTTGCTGAAAGGAGACTTAAAACCTAAAACCTTAACGATGATAATTCGTGGGTGATCGGTCATAAAACCCAAGTGGCCACAGACCTTTGTGTGTTCTCTAGCTCGTATTGAAAACAGATGTGTTTTTGAGACAGTGCTATAAACAACATTAGAATTACTGCCCTGGTTTCGGGTGTTTTTGTTTTCTGTTTTGTTTACCAGGCCCTCATAAATAATTTCAAATTCGGTTTCTTCACATTTCTTGTTGAGTGCTTTGTCCCATGTGATGTAGCCATCCTCTGAATCTAAACATTTTCCTTGAGAATATGTGCAGGCCAAACTATTTTTTAAGTAAATGGCGTCGTTTTCGTAATCTACGGTAGCAACATAATCACGTAACGTTATTTCATATTCATAATATACCAAGGCATCGACCCAGGTATATACAGGCGTTCTGTACGTCCCGCCTTTGCAATTACTTCCCCACACAGATCCTGTTATGAGGACTTCTCCACGTGTAGTTGCGTTCCGCTTTAATTCACGTAATTGGTAGTCATGTGTTAATCTGACAATTCCTAATTGATGTGAGAGTTGACATTCTTCGGATGAAAATTCCTTTACAATGTATTCGTAACCTTTCTCATAATCAGAAGCATGAGAATGCATTCCACAATGTTTTATACTTCGTTTAATTATAACCTTGCATTGAAACGCTTCTATCTCACTTTTAACATTTCTTTGTAATACTTGTATTTGTACCTCGTTAGTTGATAAGTTATTCGATGGTGGTATACATGAAGCTACATCCAATAACGAATAACTTGTTAAATTAACTTCAGGGTTGCCGCAGTCATATGCTATGAGTCCAGATCCTTCGAAAGATAAGACATTTCCGAAAATTGCACATGCTAAATACAAAACCACCATTAAATTTGCCCATGTGACCGGCTTTACAATTTTCTTCGGTTTTGGCTTTGGCTTCGCAATTTCCGCAGCTATTTGCTTTACTTTGTCAATATCAACACGCCTTCGTTTTCCATATTCGTATCCCTGCGAGGTTTCGTCATTTACTTTGTGTATCATTCCCACAAAGCAATCTTGGTGTTCTCATCTCAATAACTTCGTCTCAGACTCCATTTCGATCAGAAGTTACATTTGTGTGCTTCAATTTATTGAAAAATATCAAAGTGATTTTGAATCCATCCAATATGGTCGAATGTTTAAAAAATGTGAATTATTGCCTATTGATGAGTCTACGTTACGGTCGACCGGCAGATGAAAATTATGTGAAAATGATAATGACGTTTTGCTACCTGTCAAATCGTATGGAATATTTTTTAGTACATCATCACTTTTATGATTTTGGAATCCAAATCTAGGGGTCGCATGCATTGGTGCAGTTTCGCGTAGATTCATCAATAAAGCGCTGTCCAGACTGAGCAGTAACATGTTATAACGGTTGTCAAATAATTGCAATACAGAAACCACCATCAAGATAGCACTATAACACAGAGAACAGACATTGAGGCTCGAACAAAATTTCTCTAAAAACTTGTGTAAAGATTCCTATTTGACTTAAGCGCCACTAACGGCGACTTCCCCACTTAAGTTGGCGTTGCAAAATTTACACTAGACACTAAGTGCTGGTAGCACCAAGTGGCAATTTCAAAAGATAATTTATCGATACTAGCGCCCAGTTGGTCGAAAGTGATAAATTTATAGAGGAAATCAGGAGATGCTTGCGGTACGTAACGGCGACGTTTCCACTTAACTTTACACAAGTTTCTGATCGAACTTGGACGTCTGTTCTCTGTGACTATAACCTGTATAACTCTGTAGTCTGAACGTACTAAATGTAAACAGTTGGCGGTTTTTTTCACAGATTTTCTGTGATTTTTCACAGATATTCGTTGAAAAATTACAGGAAAACTGTAACAAAACACCGAACGTTCAGCTGTTGAGATTTCGGTAAAATTTCACAGATTTCGGTAAAATTGATGAATCAAAGCGAAACTGCACCAGTGCATGCGACACCTAGGTTTGAAATCCAAAACCACAAAAGTGATGATGTACTAAAAAATACTGCATACGATTTGACAGGTAGCAAACCGTCATTAACATTTTAACATCATTTCCATCTTCTGGACGACTGTAACGTAAATTCATCAATACTCTTAGTGTGTAACGTATAGACTTCTCTGACGTTTTTGAAATGCACAAGTATTAGTGCAGAACTCGGGGTAAATTATAAGTATCAGTGCAAGAAAACCTTTGTTGCAAAGTTCTGCACAAATACTTGTGCAATTCACAAACGAGAAGTCTATTAGATTTGATGCATCAATATCTAATTGCCCATGTTCGGTAGGTAACCTAGATAGTAAAATTCCGACAAATAAACTTCGTCCGACATCCCTACTCCGAGGCTTGCCATAAATCATCTTCCACGCAACATTGCACCCAAGTTATAGTTGTACACAACTAAATTGATTCACGGCCGATGAGAGTAACTCAGAGACTGAGTCGAATTCAACTAAGAATTTCAAAAATGGGATTACTCAAGGAGTGAGCAAAATGTTTCTGACTTTTCCGGGAAAACCTGTTTCAATATGAGGAAACCGATTTTGTTCAGTCTAGGAGTATACTAAAAGACTGAGTGACATATAGGGGAAATGGCTCTAAGATTGAGCCCATCGCTAAAAATCTGCTATTTATCAATTTTATCTAGATGAACGGGTCATTGGGACGGTACTAATGGATATTTGGCCACTATGGAAAATTTTGTCGATTGCCGAATTTATGTATGGGCCCAAATTAGGGGCATTTAGGCCGACATTACATCCATTTTCCCTATTTCGCGAATTTCCTAATATATTCGAAATGTTTTTCCAGGAAAATTTTATTTATTTACTACACGGCCATTGTGAATAACCCAGAGAGTAAGTCACTTGTACTCAGAGGTATGGAGAAATTTCTAAAAACTACAGGAACTCAGCGGTGAGTCCCTGCAGTTTTCTTTATTGATTTTTCTCTCTCTCTCTCTCTCTCTCTCTATTCTTAATGGCCATGTGTTATTCTTAATGGCCATGTAGCCCCACTTTTTGTAAATTTTAGTAAAATTTGACTTTGAGCTACTATTATTGACCGTGTGTATGTCAGATGCTTCCTATAAAGAGGATGATTCAGTAACATGTTTTTAAGACAAGTGGGCAGGAACTCACGGTCTTCCATTGTTGGTGAGTTCTTTGCCGTTAATGTTCACGAAAAGTTCACTATTTTGCCATACAGAAATTTAAAACAAAATTTTTTATCTGCAGATTTGGACAGTTTTTGACCTGTTTCATACGACCGGAAGGTGTATGCTGGTTACAAATTCCGTGCCAAACTGATTTCCTGCGCAATTAATCAATCTTTGATGTGAATTTCGCTAATAAACACGAGGACCATTTCTTATAGCAAAACTTGCCATAACAAAATAGGCGGTTCATTTTAGTAAACAAACTAACACTTCTTCCGACTGTGGCACCTCTCTTATTCGCCTAGATGATTCAGTCTCTTTAGTGCCGGCGCCGGTTGTGTAGTGGTAAGCGTGACTGCTTTCTCATCCCAATGCGTCTGGGTTCAATCCCAGCCGAGGTCGGTGGGATTTTTCTGAGGCAAAAATATCTCTGGTCACGTCTTCCTTCGGAAGGGAAGTAAAGCCGTTGGTCCCGGCCCATTTTGTGTGTTTGAATGGGTGCGATATCGCAGGTGTGGAAGCTGCCTTCCTGCACATTCGATTGCCGTCAATGGATGGCAATCGATGTCCGTCGGTGATTGGCACTAGATTGCGGAACAGAGACCAACGTTAAATAAAGGAAAGAAGAAGAAGAAGTACCCCCGCGGCTGGATGGAAGAACAGTCAGTCGTGTTTTCTTTCAATCTATACTGATCACAACGCAGTACAAAATGGGTCCTACCGTGCGCGATCAATCACCTCTACTCAAATGCATTATTTTTAGAAACTTCTCATTCATCTGAGTAGCAGTGACTCTCTCTCTCTCTTACTCTGAGTTAATGTCATCGGCCGTCTATATTTGATTTAGTACAAACCGTCACTGGCGTTACTTCTTCATCCATAAAATAACATCTGGATCCTGGCGTCACATCCTGATGCAGGATCGGTTCCGTATCCTTTGCTATAAATTCTAGGATGGTCCCATAAATCATCCGAACAGGCTTTTCTGCTGTTCTCACAATTGAACCTAACGGTAGAGGGATTATGGAAAGCTATGAATGTGCACGCCTATTTACGAAATTTCCACACGGCGAATGAGAACAACCCAAATTTGAGTTTAGTTCACTCATAATCGCCAAAAGTGCAGGAACTCAGCGATGAATAAATTTACCTGTTTTCCCAGGTTTTTCCAGGATTTTCCAGGGAAAAATTCCCGAATTTGAGAAAAGTAAAGATTGGATTCACTCAGTCTATTGGTACTACTCCGAAACTGAATAAAATTTTCGTCAATTTCCTCATTTTCCGGCAGATTTTTTAGGTTTTCCACAGGAAACCATGACACAAATTTTACTCATCGCTTAGTTCCTGCACTTTTGGCGATTAGAGTGAACTAAACTCAAATTTGGGTCGTTCTCATTCGCCGTGCATACATCTGAGCGAAAGTGACTCACACACGAAGTACACTGAAAACGAATCTTGCTCAGAGAGTGAGTCACTTTTACCCATTCATATGGAGTAATTTCTTAAAGCGTAGAGTAGAGCCAAAAAGTTGAGCACGTTTCTTCGGGACCTTCTATGGTAAAAGTGACTCACAACTGACTAAAAGTGACTCACTCTCTGAGTTAATTTCTTTTTCAATGTAGGAAGATATTCAAGTATTTCGAATTGTTTTAGACAAGAAGTGAGAAACCAGCCTCTTCATTATTCCATTTTATTCCTGGATCAAGATCTATTAAAGCTTCCTTGTTTTTTTTTAATTTGTTTTCATTTTGTTTCGGTTAAGTGTTCCTCTGTTCTAGATAGTTAATAAGAGTTTTAATTTGTTAGATAATAATTTGTAATTTGTTCACTGTAGCTGTTTGTTTGTTTGTTCGTTTACTTTGTTCTGTTATGATTTCCACGCACGCACGGGTTTGGCGCATCATTTCTATTCAATTGTTTTGGTAGTTATGGGAACAACGCCTAAAAATATAGAATTTCCTTTCCTGATGAATTCTCAAACATGTGTCGAACCGCTTTCCGTCCGGAACGAGAAGCACTGTACCTTTTCACTATGAACTGCTTTAATTTTAGATTAGAACCTTTTAAGCTTACTTTGTTCGAAACTATCTACAACACCGTCGACTCTCTGACTCGATTGCTTTTTTAATTCAATTTTGTTTCCTGTATCTTATAACGAGCGACAACAACGTTCAAAATTCCTTCCGTAAATTCCTATCATTTTGTTTTCAGCTAATGTCTATCAAAATCGAAACTCGTTTCATTTCTCTCGTACTGTCAGTACTTCAGCCATCGGGTTAATAAATTGTCATCTTTGTTTATTGTGGGGGTTATTCGATTAGAGGGGAGGGGGCGGGGTTGTGGTTAAGAGTTTGTTTTTAAAATTTATCTTTCATTTTGTTTCCTATAAAAATTACGTAATACTGCAAAAAGTCACAAGAAAATCATCGTTACTTCCTAACCTAGCGAAGCTACTAGCAGCGATGATAAGATGTCTGTAGGGTATACCTTTTGTTCGATACAAAGAAGATCGTTTGGGTTTGCGTTCTTTAATTTTAATTCCTACTCAAATGATTCAATCCATATGTGCGTCCGTCCTGTGCGAATCTTGTTCGTGTGTCAGTGTAGGTAGTAGAGTCGGTGTCTGTCAGTGTGAGGGCGTTTACGAAACCAAAGAAATGTAAATTGGACTACTCAAGCAAATACAGAATAATTAAACTAAAGAAAAATCTATTTCTAGATCATTGCAGCAGTACGAAACAAAAATAAATAAAACTTGCACAATGAAACTAGGAGAGCACGAAAACCTACTATCGTATAATTGTATAGAGCTTTGAACAACACTTTGTACAACGAACACAGGAAAAAAAACATAAGACGCTTTTTACAATACACATTCACTTTTCAAGCAAATGAACACAATCCTGTCATGCGAAGTAGTTAACTCTGGTCAACAAATAATAATAAACATAGTATAGAATCAGAAACACATTTCAGCGAATAACGATAATAAAAGAAAATTGAAATGACAAACTAAAAATTATTGACCGACTTTCCTGACTTAAAAAAAAACTTGTCTTGGTCGTCCCTATTCCGCAGTCTGTCCTAGTGGCAGCTTATTTGCATTTTTTTTTAACTCCCTATCCAACTTCGTTTTCGATTTCCACAATTATTTTTGGGGCGAAACAAATACCGAGGGTAACACGCTATCATATAAGGTAGAGTAGTGCTGCGTCACACGATGCACACGAATTCTTAACTGATTTACAAATGTACAACTTTCCAGCCTACCAACTAAGTATGGGAGTAGATGAAATAGAAGGACAACATCGGATGCGGATCAGTTTGCTGAGGGCTAGCCAATTGGTCGTTCCGTAGCAATTCGATTCGATTCAATTCCTCCATGGGAGCAAACGAGGATTGCTGTTGGATGGTGGAATCAAGTTTCCTAGATCACATTGGTTGGTTTTAGATCTGTGGAGAAAGAAGAGTCAGTTAATCAAGGGAATTATTTTAGCAAGTGATCAACTTTGCAAAAAAAAAGAAACTAACTAGAAAACAAACAAACGTGATTATATTTGTATATACAAAATTAAAAGGCTTTTATTGGGATACAAGTGCAAAGCTACATACAAATCAAGTGCAAACTAAAAACTAAGATCAACTAAACACGCAATCTAATTGATTATTCTAATTAAAAAACAAACATGGTGAAATTAGTTAATGAGTGTGTGTGTGATGAATGGTGGTGATGGGGGAAGGGCTTATTGACTACGTGATTTTTTTTTTCAGAAAAAATAAAACACTAAAATACATCTGCTGGGAATTAAGTATTTTAAAGTTAGATTTAATGTTGAATGTTGAATTTAAGTTGCTACATCATGGAACATTTAATTAATGTGTACCCCGATTTACTAAAAAGGCTAGTATATCAAGTATAAGATAGCAACCAAAAATGTCCATTAGTACCGTCCCAATGACGCGTTCATCTAGATACAATTGATAAATAGCTGATTTTTAGCGATGGGCCCAATCTTAGATCCATAGGCCAACATTAGAGCCATTTTCTCTATATTTGCCTGTCATATTTATCCACGTCCATTAAAATCCATTTTAATTATTTTTTCCATGATTTTATTATCATGGAAAAAATAATTAAATTTAGATTTAGGCCCTTTTGCTATAAACTGGAGCACTAGAGCTTAAACTGGCGCACATGCTCTGGTTGCACACCAACTTCTGATATCCTCTTCCAGTAAAATAGTTTGCTGAAGAAGGTCCATCAAAATAAAATTAACTGAAATATCAGCAATCATATTTGTTATTGCTGAACACCCAGTTTATGAGAGTTATTGCTGGAAACCAGCAAAAATCATCTGTCAAAAGAACTTGTAATTTTTCGTATTAGCTGCATGGTCTATCAATAGACAAATCGGACAAAGTATTCAGAGTTTGTGATGTTGGAGAATAGTTTCTCTTTCGTAATTACTACGGTAAGATAATTTTTAGGCGAAGACATATTATCCTTAATGACACCACCTTTATTGACAGGTTGTTTAAAATCTTCGACCATATTATGTTCTTGGAAGATTTGTAAACAAGGCAAGGCTTATGGAGATGGCTACATGTTTTTAAATGTTGTGAATTAGGTTAACATTAAAAAGTGAAGGACATATAAATTTTCCTAATGTATTTTTTAAAATAATTTGACAGTTCAAATACAAGGAAACGTCCGGAAAAAAATACTGTTTAATCAATGCTGAATTTTCAGCAAACTCTTGTCAAAAACCATTTGCTGGATTGTCAGCAACATTTACTTTGCTGGAAAAAAAAATAGTGTGTAGAGTCCTTGTATTATTAGAATGACATATCAGTCTTGAAACAGTCGACCACGGCCTTCATATACAAGGCTAGCTCATTAGAGTCTAAGAGAAGAGGTAACAATACGGGGGCGAAAACGAGCCATTTTTCTGTCAAACGTGAACCAGCTCCTGATTGGCCGATTTCATGTACGTAAGATAGAGATAGAGATAAATAAAGATAAAGATAGAGATAGAAATAAAAGAGGAAGAAGCCAATTGTCACCTCTTCCTCTTAGATTAGAGTGTAAACATCATTCGAAGCAGGCTCAAGTGGCGTCAGAGTTTCGACTCGACACAAGGGACTTTAATTTGCCGGGTTATGACACTTTAGCTGACTTTAAAAATTGGAAGAGAGTCCTGATTACTCGCCCGATAACTGTTCCGGAAGCAGTTTCCTGACATCGAACACAAGTTCGAGTTTCGGAGCCGGACCAAGCCGGTGGAGGGAAAAGGAGGTGGGAAAACTGTTTTTCGAGACTAATTTGCTGAAAACTTAGAAAATCAGCAATTCGTGGAAGGCAGAATTTTCATTGTATAATAATTATGAGTACTATACAAAAACTATACAAGTGTGACCATGGATGAGCATGACTGTTATTATACAAATAAGGCTCATGGTCATAGCTGGTCCTACAAGTGTATCCGCGGCATAACTATTGCATTTTGTTGTCCCAGTCCATGAAAATACTATCAAATCTAGCATCGATTGTATATTTTACATTGCGTTTAATGTGGATAAAATGTACTTTATCTGATTATTATACCGCAAATTAATGAAAACTTTGAAAATTTATGCATATTGATAATGAAAAACTTGTTTGTTTATTTCACCGATTCTGATGACGTCACACACAAAATGATCATCGGCAGAAGTGGAGTAGCTACACGCTATTTCAAAACTACCCAAATTTTTGTAGAATCCACCCAGATCGGTCAAAACTGAACCTACCCAAAAATGAGTAAACTATGTTGAGAGTGACAGGTTGGCAAATGGACAACATCGACATGAATCCGATCGAAATGAATCGAACATAGTTTACCCATTTTTGGGTAGGTTCAGTTTTAACAGGTCTGGGTGGATTCTACCCAAATTTGGGTAGTTTTGAAATAGCGTGTAGCCTGGTATACACTTAACAAAAACATCCGCAATACTTCGACTATTGTTTTGCTCGAGCCCTTTAACAAACTCTCTGTCACCGGTGAGGTGACAATAGTCACTTCGTGTGAGGTGACTCTCCATTTGATTTACATGGAGAGTCACCTCACACGAGGTGACAATTGTCACCTCACCGGTGACAGAGAGTCACGTGACTCGCAGAATAAGGGGGAATATGCTGTCCAATTTCGGATGATTTCCTTATGGTTGAATTCGTCATCAACTGATGAGCATCCTTAGGACTGTTCTCCAAATAAAGGATGATATTTATTTGAAAATTGGCTGTAACACATACAGGGCTCGGAGGACAACAATTTAAGGATAGGATGACTTGCAAATGCTTTAGGTTAGATTATTAATTCGATTGTTTACATTTCCATAGAGATTGCTGACGTTTATCATACGCAAATGGTTTTCATCGGGAAAAAAAAACTTCATAGCGGAAAATTTTCCCGATGAAAACAAATCACTGACACAATCATACTTTAGCAATCTCTATATTGAATGGCCATGAACAGCCCATCATGGATACAAAAATTACTTGTTGGTAGAGGAAACTTCCAACACCACCAAATAGACAATCGTCGGTTTCCACGGTTTACCAATGTTCGTACCACCTCTCATAGCGATGGCTATGCTTCCACCTCGTTTGTCCGCTCAGAGCAACAAAAGACGTTCAATAGAATAATTTACAAAATCGTTTTGAATGATTTGCGTTAAGAGGCTGAACCAATAACAAATGCATTTCAATCTAAGATGACTACGAGGGGTGCGACACATCTAAATCTCGATTTGAAATGGTCGAAAAATATCACACTAGCGACTCAATCTACGAAAAATCTTTTTTTCATCTCTTGCATCTAAACCCATCTACTCGCAGCGCCCTCAACTTTTTTGCAGGAAATCTTCAAAATCATAATCAATCGTGTTTCTATCTATTGAGCGCGAGTGCATCTCACAACAGCAAAACAGAGAATTTCCTGCATCTTAGATAGAATCGCCCCCCTCGAATGACTATCATTCTGCAGAGAGCATTACGCGTTCCAACTGAAGGCCCTATCCCTTCTCATAACAATGTTCATCCTGTATTCGAGAGGAAAATCATCTGATTTAAAAACAACCGTCATCCGGTTGCAGCTATCATTCGAAAAGGCGATTCCGATGTTTCGATTTGAATGGTCTGAGGTTTCATTCGAACAGAGGAAGGGGTGGTTTGGTGCAGTGTACTTCGGTTCGTGCACTGTAAAAAATCTTCCGTTGATACTACGTGAAAAATCACGTAACCCCTTAAACACCCCATTTCAATCCTTTTCAAGTGCCACAGGTCAATGTCAAATGCAATTTAGATTAAACTACGGGAATTTCACGTAAAAAGTAAGTGATAAACCAACTTCGATTACTTCAACTTACCTTTTTTCATGCAATGATCATTGACCAAATAATTTATTTCAAACCAAAAGAAATCCAAGACTAAAGCACAGGCACCTTACTATGCCCACAGAGAACAGACATGGAGGCTCGAACAAAATTTCTCTAAAAACTTGTGTAAAGATTCCTATTCGACTTAAGCGCCACTATCGGCGACTTCCCCACTTAAAAACCCTCTTTGACAACATGATGGCGCTGGCGTTGCACAAATTACACTAGACACTAAGTGCTAGTAGCGCCAAGTGGCTATTTTCAACAGAAAATTTATCGATACTAGCGTCAAATTGGTCGAAAGTGGAAAATTTATAGAGAAAATCAGGAGATGCTAACACCACGTAACGGCGACGTTCCCACTTATTTTACACAAGTTTCTGACCGAACTTCAACGTCTGTTCTCTGTGCTATGCCCCTCCTTCCCCTGCATGTATGGAAAAGTGATTCAATATGGCGTCATCGAGTTCATTAAAGGAAGATTTGCTCTCAGTTTTGGATTTCCTTACGCATAAATTAGAAGGTATTTTAATCCATTCTACGTCATTTGAAGACCGCACAAATTATTGTATTTATTTCGATTTCAGAGGCTAGAATCAATATCAAAACTCTGGAGAAGGCAGCACAAACGGATATTACATCTGAATGGTCTTGATCAAATGGTTGAGGTAACGAAATTTTTAGTGTTAAATTTGTAATAACATGTAGTTAGAAAATAGAGAAATGCTTGACGAATCGTTAAAAAAATCTAAAAATGTTTTTCTGGCTTTTTTCAGATCCTGAAAACTTTACTTCAATATCACGTAAACATTACGTGAAAATCTATTCCAAATTTAGTGGAAATAACATAAAAATATACCGTATTGTTCACTTTCATCACAAAATGGGAATATTTTTTGGCTACATGACATTAACGGAAATGTTACGTGAAAAGTAGTATGGACGAAAGCTACCAATGTTTTCACGTAGATCGGACGTGCATATTTTTTGGAGTGTGTGTGTATGGGCCCTAGCAAGTTTTGTTTACAAATAATGAT